CCCCCCGCCCTCCCCATCGCAGCGGATTTGGGGACCCCCGCAGCGCCCGCCCGCGGTGCAGCGCAGGTGAGGAAATGTCCTCTATGGGGCCGGGGGGGCAGCGCCCCATTGCTGCGCCCCACCAGCAGCCCCTCTGTGCCCCACAGATGGCGGCCGCACGCCTCAAGTTTGACTTCCGTGCTGAGTCCCCCAGGTCTGTTCCTGTGTCACCGTGGTGGGGGGATGGGGACATCTGGGGATGTGGGGCTGGGGACACCTGGGGGCGTTGGGTTGGGGTGACCTGGTGCTACTCAGGGTGGGAGACTTGTGGGGCTGGGACACCTGGGTTGGGGGCTGGGGACACTGAGAACCAGATGGGGTTGGGGACACGTGGGGACATGTGGGGCTGGGGACACTGGGGACATTGGGTTGGGGGCATCTGAGAATATGGGGCAGGGGACACCTGGGGATGTTGGGTTGGGGTGACCCGGTGCCGTTTGGGGTTGGGGACATTTGGGGTTGGGGACATTTGGGGACACGTGGGGCTGGGGATGTGGGGTTGGGGACCCGTGATGTCACCTGGGGTTGGAGACATCTGGGATTGGGACCGGCGGGCGCCACCTGGGGTTGGGGGCAGCTGAGAGTGGGGGGCTGGGGACACGTGGGGACATTGCATTGGGGTGACCAGCGGGGATCGGGGACATGTGGGGCTGGGGACATGTGGGGCTGGGGACATGTGGGGCCGGTGTCCCGCTGCCCCACGGCGCTGCTGCCCGCAGGGAGCTGTCGCTGAGCAGGGGCGACGTGGTGCTGCTGCACGGCGCTGTTGACGCCAACTGGCTGCGCGGGGAGCATGGCGGCCGTGTGGGCATCTTCCCACGGACATACGTGGAGGTGACGGGGGTCACACGCGTGTTGGGGGGGGGCGCCCCCGGGGTGGGGGGCCCGCCCCCCGGCCCCCCCCCCCCCCTTCCCATAGGTGCTGCCCCACGGCGAAGCGCCGCAACCTGGGACCCCAGCAGCAGCACAGGGCTGTGCGACAGCCGTGTTCAGCTTCCATGGGGAGCTGCCTGTAGAGCTCAGCTTCCGCAGGGTGAGCGTGGCGGGGCGTGTTATGGCGTGTTATGGCGTGTTATGGCATGTTATGGTGTGTTATGGCATGTTACTGCGTGTTACAGGATGTTACGGCATGTTATGGCATGTTACAGCATGTAATGGAGTGTTATGGCGTGTTATGGTGTGTTACGGCGTGTTATGGCGTGTTATATCATGCCATATCGTTCCATATCGTGCCATATTGTGCCATATCGTGCCATATCGTGCCATATCGTGCCATATCATGCTATATT